AGGCCCATCCCGAGTCCAGCTACTCCCGCTGCTTCTCGGCCAGGTGTTTACGGACCAGCGAGTCAACCTCTCCTCTCCGAGCCTCAGAATTGGGGTGGACGTGGTGACTTCACGTGCTTGGGGGAGCGGCGTGAGACCGACAGTGAGAAAGGACCCAGGAACTCCGAGGAGCGTTACACAAACCGTGAGGCCGAGGGGTCACGCTTGACTTCTCCTCTCATCAGCTCCAGGTGGGAAGAGACGCATGCACGAAAATCCCACCCGCCTTCCTTCGCGCCTTACCGCATTGTGCGTGTATTTGGGGTACAGGGAAAGGAAGGTGGGCAGGGCACATGTAACGAAGAAGACTTGCCATTCTTCGTGTTTTCTATGCACAAAGGCTCTTGTAAATTGTAGGCTGCTACTGCGGTGACAAGGAAGGAACTACAGAGAGTTGAGACAATGACAGTGCTGTCCAGGACTGAACAGCTCCTTCTCCTCCAAGTCTCCATCTCCCCGCGTCTACCGAGGAAGGTGACGGGGGAAACTGAGTCGCTCTGTCCTGGACCATGAGGCTGTCCAGACCAAAGTGGGCAGAGGACTCTCCCTCCTGCCTCTGCGGCCTGGGCAAGGCCTGCACTCTGGAAAGCGTTTCTGAGGCAGCACTGCTGTCTGGCAGGGTACTTGTCCAGTGGGATCTCCTACCACGGCAGCTCCTCATGCCTGAAGATAGAAGACCGAAAGTGGGGAGCCCAAAACTGTATGCCAAGAGGTATCGGGGACAACATCCAGATATAATAGTGGTGCGGACAAAACTAAATTGCACTGATGTGACTTAGGAGAAATTCTACTCCAAATCGGACATTAGCCTCCATATGGAATTGGACACATTCAACCCTTTCCCTCATAGAGGAAAGGTTTTGAGAAACTCCCAGATATCGTACTATCAACTACCACAGCCACCAGCCACAAGTGGCTATTTACCTTCAAAGGAAATTCATTTAAAACTAAAGAAAACTTAAAATCAGATTCTGTCCCACTAGCCTCATCTCTGGGGCTCAACACCCACACCTGGCTTGTGGCCCCATGTTGCACAGGGCGGCAGAGAACTCCCAGTTTGCTTCACGCCCTGGACAAGGCGTTTGTGCTGGTCCCACCTTAGTTTCCTCTCCAGGAAAATGGGCGAGTGGCACCAACACCCGACTACCCACATTCAGCGGAGTCATGGATGGAAGAGGGAATGGACTCCACTCACCTTGGGCACTGTCCAGCACTGAGTCCATTCTGTGATGACCCCAAAACGCATGGAGACACAACCCTGCCTGGCGCCAGCTGTTCAGTGCTGCTAGCCCGCACTTTGGTCCCGGGGTACAGAGTGGCCAGGCTTTGGGTAGCGGAGAGTGCCTGAGTCAGACGGGCAGCCCCCCTGAGCCATGGCACTTCCTCTCTGCTCTGACTTCCCAGCTCATGATCAGCCGGAGCCCAGGGGGTGCCCAGGCCAGGCAGTGTGTAGAACAGCAATTAATTACCTAGGCTCATCTCTATGTATAAGGTTTTGCTATTGTTGTTTTATAATTTTCCACAAAGCACAGGAAGGAAATCTTACTTCAGGCGGCTGGAATGCTTGCCAGTCAGGCATTTCTATGGAAATGGGTTCATAGCTATGAATTTTACCTGCTTCTGATCTACTCTAGATAAACCTTTCAAATTTAGAAAAGTGCTTTGTGATTATCTCAATTTAATAATTACAACTGCCTTTGAGGAATCAGGATTGATGTTTCAGCCATGAGATATCCATTAGTCATATTTTCTGGAGGTAGAGACACACATGTGTAGTGTGGGTGTGTGGGTGTGTGGGTGTGGTGTTGAGAGAGGTCAGGTGTGCAGCCCTCATGCCAAAGCATACAATCTCCTCCTGCACGGTGCATCCCAGAAGCCGTTTCCCATGGCAACTTCACCTGTAAGAAGGCTGACTCTGCCCCAGGGCCTTGGGACCACTGAGGCAGGGCTGAGAAGGGTTCTGAGCACACAGTGTGGCTGCAGCTCAGTTGTGTCAGTAAGGAGGGAAGGGGCCTGGGGACCCAGTCCGCCAGCTTGAGCCCTGCAGCTTGTAACCAGGGAGCCCATCCGGGCATTTGTGGGCAGTGGGGACACTGACGGTCATTTTACAGGAGGGAGGGAGGGAGGGAGAAGTAACGCTGGGAGAAGAGGCACAGTCGTCGGCCAGAGCTGTCCTCCAGCGAGCTGTCACGTCCACGCCGACCGCCCCTCGCCCCACAGACACCAGGCAGCTCTGAGCCACCAAGCTAGACGGCGACACCCGTCTCCCAAGTAGAGAAGTGGAACAAGAGAGGGTCTCTCTGGTCTTGGGTTTGCTTTTTCTTGTGAGTCGTTTTCTGGGTATTAATATGAAAAATGACCAAACACAAGGTGAACAGTGACAGTGTGGGACAGATGTTCCAGGGCGGGACTGCAGGTGACTCCTGAGCCCTGGCCTGGGCTCCTCCCCTGGCTGTGAGCTCCCCGAGGACTAAGGTGTGCTGTGTCCTCCCCGCTCCAATGGCAGAGCCGAGAGGTATCCAGTACGGGTTTGCCTAATTCCCCTCACGGCCCTCAGAGCCCGGGAGACAGTCTGTGCAACACCAGGCGAGTCTTCCACCCTCCGAGGGTCTCGAGCTCGGCCTCCTGCCTGGCGGGTATGTGCGTCTACACAGCCTGCTCACAGGACACACACTTGTCTCGACTGCAAGGACATTGTGCTCCAGGGTCCCCAGGGCCCCTGCACGTCCACTTCCTATATATGATGAGCTCACGCTCATTCTGTGTTGGGCTCGGAGGACTCTCGGGTGTCGGAAAACAGATGCGGGCCCTGTCTGGCCAGGCAGGTAAATAAATAAGCGAGCTGAGTCTGCGTACTGACAAATACTATTTCCACAGTAAAATAGAAGAAATTGATTTGTCTTTAAAAGTTAACTTTCTCAAGTTTTAAAATTTTTTTAAAGTTATAATTTATAAATGGCCATCTTTAATTTTAAAATAGAACGTGAATCACAACAGGAGACAATGAGAGGGTGTTCGGGAAACGCCCCAGCTGGGAGCTGACATTTGCACCAAGACCTACAGGCTGGGTGGAAGGCAAGCAGCTCCTCAGCAAATATTTGTTGAATAAATGAGAAAATCTATTTTAAGCCAAAAAAAAATCATGGGAAAAATGTGTCGCAAACCGTCAGCATGAACACAGGTGCTGAGGTAAAGGGACGCCCTTCAGGCCCTTGTTCCAGTGCTACCTGTGCAGGAAGCCGCCTCGCACACCCGAGGTGTCGTTTTGCCCTGCCGTTCCGCCCTGTCCCACTCTGGCTTGGCCTGAGCCTTCCTCTCCTCGCATCCTGTTAGTAACTGATTGTGTCGAGTGTCAAACACACACACACACACACACGCAAGGGAAGCAAGACTTGCTGCCCTCTTTGCACACTGACGTGTCCCGGAGACATAGGCTATAGCCTGGAACATAGGCAGCACTCGCTGCCGCCTGCTGGGTAAGTTAACGACCTGGCCAGTGTCCTGAGCCCTGGGGGAGGTCTCAGAGAACTGCTCAGGGGAAGCAGAGGGCGGCTGCACAGGTGTCGGGAGGAAGCACAGGACCTGTAGGGCATTGGGGGGAAACTGGTGCACCTAGGCTGGCAGCCAGGAAAGGCTTCCTAGAGGAGGCTGGGCAGGGCTGGGTGTCGAAGGGCGCGCTCGTGTGACAGGCAGCCACACAGCCCACTGTCCGAGGTCCCCTTGTCACCTCTCCATCCTGCCCTGACACCTCTCCCACTGCCGGGGTCCGGAGCACACAGAGTCCCAGGGAGGAGCACGGCCCAGCCATCTCTCCGCTTGTCACACATGTTACCCACGACACGACGGCCAGCTCAGGGCCTGCCATGAGCAGACCACCTCCTTCCGCAGTCGTCAGACCCCACGCCACCTCCCCATTTTCAGCTAGCCAAGGCAGCTGTTTTCTCCCTGTGTGGTTCTGGATGACAAGTCAGGCAGCGGTTGACAGCCGAAGTCTAAAAATATTCACGAGCCTCCAGTCTAGATCAGGGACTTCGCTCTTCCAGGATTCCAAACACTCTCTCCTTATCAGTTTGACTGATTTCCTGACTTCCTGTCATGCAAGTGCTACACTGAACGCTTCTTTATAAAAATCCTAAGACCGCACCACCTGGGAGTGGCCCAGGTGATGGGCTCCTTTGTTGCATTTCTGGCAGATTGGGAAAACTGGACAGGAAGCTCAAAGTTGATCAGACCAGCGCTTTCTTTACCATCCCTACTGCTGTGCCTCTGAAAAATCTGAATGTGTGTGTGGGCGTGTGGGCGTGCACATGTGTGTGTGCATGCATGTGTGTGTGCATGTGTGTTACTAGAAGTTGAACCCGGGCCCTTCACGTTGAGCTACATCCCCACCCATTTTTTGTTTTTTATTTTGAGACAGGGTCTCACTAAGTCACTAAGTTGTCCAGGCTGGGCTTGAGTTTAGGATCCTCCGGCTTCAGCCTCAGTGTGAGGTTCCAGAGTAGTCAGTATTTTCGGAAGTGGATGATATACACACATATACACACACACAGCAATGAACTTCT